CCCTGGCACATAGCGAGACTCTTATATTTTAAAAAACACAGACAAGTTTTTTTTTTTTTTTTTTTTTTTTAGACAGAGTCTTACTCTGTTACCCCAGGCTGGAATGCAGTGGTGCAATCTCGGCTCACTGCAACCTCCGCCTCCAGGTTCAAGTGATTCTCGTGCCCCACTCCCATAGCCTGGGTGCGCCTGGCTGATGTATTTCTTTAAGGCATTTACTGAACTACCTGAGAGGCTGCGAGAGTTCATGTACTCTTGAGAGGGGGAGAGGAAGGTGCTGAGAAGGATCATGGAGGCTGGTGCTGGGGGTCTGAGCAGGGACAGGTGGGAGTGGCTGGGAGAGGGTTAGATGACCCTGGGCATGGGAAGCAGGGTGAGAAGGGCGTGCTGAGTCCTGTGAGCTCAGGTCCTTGGGCAGTCAGCCCTCATCAGCTTAGCGACCTGCCCCATCATGTCATGCAGGCCTCACGAGGTACAATTCAACCAAAATACAAATCCCTCCTTGCCATCTGCATTGAGGTGCCCAGGAATCAGCTTCCCTAACGTTAGGGGTGCATGGGGGAGGCACTTCAGAGACAAAGGAGCTTGGAGACAAGGCAGAAAAGGCTAAGCCTGGGGGAGGCAGGGGTTGGGAGAGGGAAGGGAGAAGGGAGAGTGCAGGGCCTCAGGTCAGGAGGGAGAAGAGAGCAACTGCTCCCATAAGGAAGGCCTGGGCCCCTGGAGCTCCTGGGGCCTCAGTGTTCTCACCCTAGAAAGGGACAAAACAACCTGGAGAGGTGCCGAGAACTCAACAGGCAGCAAGACGCAGGGGATCAGAAACAGATACCCCAAGGCTGGGCGTGGTGGCTCATGCCTGTAGTCCCAGCACTTTGGGAGGCCGAGGTGGGTGGATCACGACGTCAAGAGTTTGAGATCAGCCTGACCAATATGGTGAAACCCCATCTCTACTAAAAATACAAAAATTAGCCCGGTGTGGTAGTGCATGCCTGTAATCCCAGCTACTCAGGAGGCTGAGGCAGGAAAACTCCTTGAATCTCGGAGGCAGAGGTTGCAGTGAGCCGAGATTGTGCCATTGCATTTCAGCCTTGGCAACGAAGGGAGACTTCGTCTCAAAAAAAAAAAAAAAAAAAAAAGAAACGTATACCCCAAATTATGGCACTTTGACAGGTAGGACTAAAGCAACAGCCTCAAGGTCCCTCTGACCTCCCTCCTGTCTCCGTCCCTCCCAAAGCACAGGAGGAAGCTGTTCTCTTCAAGTTCCCTATCTACCTAGAAACTGGACCTGCCCAAGAAGAACAGAAGGGCCTTGGATCTCTTCCCTGAAACGTCATTAACCAGAGTTGAAATGATGGAATGTTAAACACCACACCTAGAGCCCAAACCATTGGCTGTTCTCTAGTCCCATTCAATTCTCAGTGAGGATCATTCACAAGATGATGCCTGCCTCCATTCATCTCTCCTAAAATCTTCTGCTTCCCCTCTAAAGTTACCTACAGCCTCCCAACTGCCCTCTCCCCTATGAAAAGGTATTTAGCTTCAACCACCTGGCCCTTCTTTGAGTTTTCATAATGTTTTATATGGCTCCTGTGCTTATGCACGTGAATAAATATGTATAACTTTTTTGTTTTGAGACAGGATCTTGCTCTGTCACCCAGGCTGGAGTGCAGTGGTTCCATCATGGCTCACTGCAGTCCTGAACTCCCGGGCTCAAGCGATCCTCCTGCCTTCGCCTTCCAAAGTCCAGGGATTACAGGTGCACCTGGACTGCATACCATTTTTTATCCTGTTAATCTTCCTATTGTCAGTTCATTTCAACAGGTTTAGACTTGGACCTTCAAAGGCGGAGGGAAATTCCCTTTGTTCTCTTCAGATGCATCTCCGAGGGTATTATATGAAGTAGCTGTGTGTGTGTATGCGTGTGTGTGTGCATATGCGTCCACGTGTGTGTATCTTGTGTGTGTCGATGTGTGAGTTACTGGATGCAGGCGGCTCCTCCATAATGGCATGAGGTGGTCTTGGTGAGGTGGTGTGGGAATAAGTTTCTCTGCAGGGCAGTTAAGGAGGGAAGGTATGAAGGGAGGAGCTATGCTGTGGGCTGGGACAGGAAGAGGCGCACTAACAGTGAAGAGACACCTCTGCAAGCCAGGGGACACCACACAGGACCTGCTATACTGGGGGGCCCCTTGCCATGAGAAAGTGGCCTGGAGAAAAGAGGTGACAGAACCCACCGGATGAGATGAGAAACAGGGCATCCGTCAGGCCCTCCTGGGAACTGCGCACGACCTGGGCCCTGGGGTGACGGGTAGGGAAGGAAGGGGAAATGCTGGTCATGGCGGGACACAGGGGTCCCCAAATGGCAGGTCTGCACTCTTTTCCCTTTCAGGATAGCTGCTTGGAGGTGCAGCGCAAGAGGGGTCGGCTCAGCCTGGAAGTTTCTTCGGGAATGTTCAAATCTGTGTTTAACAATCATGATGGCGGTTTCCTGGACAGCTGGAGGAAAGCCAAGCCCTGTGGGCAAGTCAGAGGCGTGCAGAGGAGAGCTGCAGCCACCACGGCCTCCCTTCCATTTGCAGTCACTGGCAGAAAGGAGGACAGGTGCAGAGTCTCAAGGAGAGAGCAGCACGTGCAGGACACCCACCAGGAACCTTGTTCAGTTTAATCCTCACCGTACCTCCTACCTGCTGGTTGTGGTGGCCGTCCCATTTTACAGACAAACCCGTGGCTCGGGGGTTACATGCCAAGGTTACAAAACTATCGGTGGCAGGGCTGGGCTAGAATACAGCTGTGCCTGACACCAAGGCCCTGCTGTGCCCTCATGTGGCCGTGCCCTTACCCAGGCCACACAAACAGACACCAGATGCCAGCTCAGCCTAAAACCTGGCACATCAGTCAGGACCATGAGCTCTGGATTCGGGAAGGTTCCTCCTTCCTGCCATAATTGGGGTCAGACTGACCTAGATCACCCGGAAGGGGCTGGAAGCAACAGGGCATTGCCTGACACCAGCAGAGCGACCTCGCGTGGCTCCCCACCCTCCTCCCTGACCATGAAGGACCGGTGCAGTCTCTCCACATGTGTCCCAGGTGACCCTGCCTGCCCCCAGCACTGTGTCCCCCAGGCCATCTGGAGTGTATCTGCCCCCTTTCTATAACCTGCCTCTAGGTCAGTGAATGGTAGTTCTGTCCCTCTTCTGCCCAAGCTGACTACCCTGGGGTCACCTGGACCCCTGGCTTTTGCACACCTAGCCCACAATCAGGTGTCACCCACTCCATCTTCACCCCTTCTCGTTGCTCCTCATGCCCTGGTCCAACTGTCTTAAGTTTGAGCCTCCTCCTGCTTCCCACCCACAGGCTGCTCTCCACCCTAGTGGCCACATCCGCCACAGGTCCCGGAGGGACCCTCCCTTCCCTGAGAAAGGGCCACAGCGTTAACATCTGTTGAGGTCCTGTGTGACCACCCCCTGATTCCTCTGCTGCCACAAAGGTCTCTTGCTGCCCCAGACTCTCTGCTGAGGCTGTGCCCTTCTCAGATCTCCACACTGTTTCTCCTCAGCTCCTCCAGGCTTGTGCCAACATCATCTGCAAGAGAGACCTCCCTTGGCTTTCCCAATTCAGCGGCATCCCCTAGACCCCACCTTATTCTCCCTCTCCTTGACCTGCTTCTCTTTGCCCACAGCATCCCCAGGACCACCTTATCCATTTCTCTTTCACTGTTGGCCCTGCTCGCTGCTGCCTCCAGGTGGACAATCAGGATCTGGCACGTAGGAGGTGCTGACGGCACACACCATGCTCTGTTTACTAGCAGATTAGTGCACTCTCTTCACCACACTTCCAGTCTACTAAGCTTGAACGTTTTTATGTTTGTTTTTTTTTTTTTTTTTTTTTGGAGATGGAGTCTCGCTCTGTCACCCAGGCTGGAGTGCAGTGGCCGGATCTCAGCTCACTGCAAGCTCCGCCTCCCGGGTTCACGCCATTCTCCTGCCTCAGCCTCCCGAGTAGCTGGGACAACAGGCGCCCGCCATCTCGCCCGGCTAGTTTTTTTTTTTTTTTTGCAGTAGAGACGGGGTTTCACCGTGTTAGCCAGGATGGTCTCGATCTCCTGACCTCGTGATCCGCCCGTCTCGGCCTCCCAAAGTGCTGGGATTACAGGCTTGAGCCACCGCGCCCGGCCTATGTTTTATTTTTTAAGGAGACCAGGAGGAGACATAGATCTTACTATGTTGCCCAGGCTGGCCTCAAACTCCTGGACTCAAGTGATCCCCCAGTCTTGGCCTCCCAAAGCACTGGGATTACAGGCATGAATCAGTGTGCTTGGATAACTTGAACTTTTTTTTTTTTTTTTTTTTTGAGACAGGGTCTCACTCTGTTGCCCAAGCTGGGGTGCAATGGTGCAATCAGCTCACTGCAGCCTCGACCTCTCAGGCCCAAATTATCCTTCCACCTCAGCCACCAGAGTAGCTGGGACTACAGGCATGCGCCACCATGCCCAACTAATTTTTGTATTTTTTGCAGAGACAGGGTTTTGCCTGTTGCCCAGGCTGGTCTTAAACTCTTGGGCTCAAGCGATCTGCCCATATCGGCCTCCTAAACTGCTGGGATCACAGGCGTAAACCACCCAATAGGCCTTAGCGTGAACTTTTTGTTTTTTTTTGTTTTTTTGGTTTTTTTTTGAGATAGTCTTGCTCTGTCGCCCAGGCTGGAGTGCAGTGGCACGATCTTGGCTCGCTGCAAGCTCTGCCTCCCAGGTTCACGCCATTCTTCTGCCTCAGCTTCCTGAGTGGCTGGGAGTACAGGCGCCCGCCACCACGCCCAGCTAATTTTTTGTATTTTTAGTACAGATGGGGTTTCACCGTGTTAGCCAAGATGGTCTCGATCTCCTGACCTTGTGATCTGCCCGCCCCTGCCACCCAAAGTTCTGGGATTACAGGCATGAGCCACCACACCTGGCCTAACTTGAACTTCTTACAGGGCCAAGACACTATCTCGCTTATCTCTCAAATCCCACTGCATCCATTACAGGGATCTCAACTATCCATTACACAGATGAATCACTAGTCTATGCTTTGAACAAAGGCAAAACAGTTTTCAAAAGTCCTCCCAAGAGAAAAGTCTCTTGTGTTTTACACGTTAATACCTCAGTTTGAAATGTGAGCATAGCTTAATCACAAGCTGCAGCTTCCATTGGAACTCCAACAAATTCTAACCAACTACACTTTGAGTAAGGACTACAAATGATTAAGCTCACCTTCTTTTTGGACATGGGACGACCCCGAGGCCTGTCATAGGCAATTCGAACTGGTTCATGGACTAGAAGACAAAAGAAAGAGACATGTACACATACATACACGTGCTTTCCCTACATTACTTAGAGACTGAAGGTCTTGCAGTCTATTTTGGCTAACAGTTCTCTGACGACAGAAGGTGTCTTAGGCCCTGCATGGGCCTAAGCCCCAGCTGTGCCCCAGCTCTTCTCAGGAATGAACATGTATGACCCCTGGAGTGAGCAGAGGCGGGACAGACTCAGGGAAGGCAGCCTGGGCCATAGTGAAGGGTTCATTTGAGGGGTGCCTCGCTTTTGGAAAGTCTATTCAAACCTAAGAGTCCCCACATTTATAACAAAGGATCCAATACATGGATTATTTTCCATGACTACAGAAATATTTGTGTACCAACTATTTGTGATACTATGCCCTCCTAGTTTATCTGTAGCTAATTCACTGGGAAATAATTAAAGTCTGGGCCAGGCACAGTGGCTCATGCCTGTAATCCCATCGCTTTGGGAGGCCGAGGCGGGTAGATCACCTGAGGTCAGGGGTTCGAGACCAGCATGGTCAACATGGCGAAACCCCGTCTCTACTAAAAGTATAAAAATTAGCCAGGCATGGTGGCGAGCTCCTGTAATCCCAGCTACTCAGGAGGCTGAAGCAGGAGAATAACTGGAACTTGGGAGGCAGAGGTTGCAGTGAGCTGAGATTGCGCCCACCGCACGTCCAGCCTGACGACAAGAGCAAGACTCCATTCTCAAAAAAAAGAATTAAAGTCTGCCTAAACTTTCTAGTAAAAAACAACCATGCTTCTCACATAGAGGACCAAATCGTATTATTTTATTTTATTTTTATGAAAGGAGATTAGCAAGCTTTGTTTTTTTTTTTTTGAGATGGAGTTTCGCTCTTGTTGCCTAGGCTGGGGTGCAGTGGCATGATCTCGGCTCATGCCAACCTTCACCTCCCAGGTTCAAGAGATTCTCCTGCGTCAGCCTCCCGAATAGCTGGGATTACAAGCATGAACCACCACACCTGGCTAATTCGGTATTTTAAGTAGAAATGGGGTATCTCCATGTTGGTCAGGCTGGTCTCAAACTCCCGCCTCAGTCTCCCAAATTGCTGGGATTACAGGCGTGAGCCAGTACACCCGGTGCAGGTCTGGTTTTATCTCATCAACTACCAAAAGAACTGAGAGCTTCTAAAACAGAAATAAAAAACTCCACCAAGAAGAGCATACATAACAAGCACTCTGATACACTACCCACCATCCATGACAAGTTTAATTATTTACTTCATTTTTTTACATTAAATTTTTTTTTTCTTGTAAAGATGAGGTCTGGCCATCTTGCCCAGGCTGGTCTCAAACTCCCGGGCTCAAGCAATACTCCTGCCTCAGCCCCGCTAAGCTGGGATTATAGGCACGAGTCACTGCGCCCGGCCCATGAGAAGTTTTGAAGTTTTGAACGATGGTAAGGGTTATAGGAGAATGGTTAGCATTTCACTGCAACACCAAGGTTTTCAAACACAAAACATGAGGACTATTCCAAAGCAGGCAAAACCATAAGGCCACTGTCACCTGTAAATATGACTGTCTGAATGATGTAGAACACACCAGTGACTGTTTAACACAGTCCCACAATGGGGCACCATTCACTACAACTTCACACACAGGTTTTGCAGCAGAAGTCCCATGTGAAAGCACGGTCCAGGCCTGACTGTGGGGAGATAGCTTGGAGGGCATGGGGGGCACAGGAGTCATCTGGGCCACGGCCTGCCCACCAAAAGGCCACATGCGATGCAATTCCATGTACCGATAGACTAGGAAAGGTAGAATACCTGGGTCTCGGAAAACAGTCAGTGGTTGCTGGGGCTGAATGGGGCAGGGGACTGAAATGGGACAAGAGACCTGTTCTGGGAACAGGCTTCAGCTCTGCTGTATTGGTGGGGTCTCGCCTCTGCACAGTCAACAAAACTCAAATGGTCCACCTGGAAAGGGTGTGTTTCACTGCTGGTAAATTATACCTCAAGAACCCGGAACCTCCCCACAGGAGAGCAGGAGATGGCCTCCCATGGCCAAGGAAGGTCCCACTGACCACTGCCTGGGACCACCCTTGCTCTGTTCCCATCTCACTGTCATGACATGAAGCAGCTTATCAGCACCCTGGGCCTTCCAGGAGCTCAGAAGGGCCCCCAGCTGACAAAGTCACAGGCAGGAAAACAGCTGAGATGACCCAGGCCCACCCCTCCACAAGTGGGGAAGCCCCGACCTGAATCCAGGCAGTCAGGGAAATGTCCAGTAGCAAGCAGAGTGCCAGAAGCCACAGGGCAGCAAGGAAACATGTCTTTAGAGCAATGCCTTCAGACCACCGGGAAACATGAGTGTCGGTTCACATTTTGGAGTGGTGCACAAAACTCTTTAGGATTAAAATGTCTCCAACTGTCTCTTCTAACTCTCACAGCCCACCAACCAAGAACTGTGCTGGAGGCAGCTGTGCCGACAGGCGGGCACTCACCTTTTGGCTCCTGGATGAGACATACTCTCTTGGGAGCTGGAATCATGCCAACCTTCAACGACTTGCTGCTGATCCTCTTCCGGGGGAAGCAGGTACCTGAGGTGGCCTGTGACAGGGCAGGTGTTCCAGCCAGGTCGTCCTCGGCAGCCTCACTGGGAAGGCCATCGGCAGGGGTGCTGCCCTCAGACTTGCCCGCCCCTCCGGGAGCAGGGGCCTCCTCTCCGCCATCCTCATCGTCCTCCTCCTCCTCCTCAGGCATCACCTCTGGGCTTTCCAGCTCAGCCTCCCGCGGAGGGGGCTCATCTTCAAACTCTCCTTCCCCTTCCATGAGGTCCACGGGGCTCTCCTGAGAACCCGCAGTGTCACCACCACCAGTGTGAAGGTTGTGCGGAGATGATGTGAAACAAATTGATGGACATAGTTCAAACACTTTCTTTCGATAGAATTTGAAAGCAGAACTATTTTGGTCATGTAGAAACCTGGGGCACAGAGGAAATACATTAGGTTACCAGATGGAATCTCTCAACATTTTTATTTGCTGAAACTGCCGGGATTGATCCAAGGAAGGTGGAGGTGGGACAAGGGAAAGAATAACCTGACCGCTCTCTATGCGGCTATAGCTTGATGGTGCAGCCTCTCAATGACAGAAAATTTGAAGAGTACTAGTAACTTAATAAGGAGCTAGAATTCAAGGAGCATAACTACTTTCCAGGGGAGAGAGGCAGATGAACAAGGCATGCAGGGCCTGGGAAAATGCTGGAATAGAAATCTGGCCTGAGACCCATCTCACCCTTTCTGGTTACATCACTGGCCTCTCTGGGCCTTCATGTGCCCATTTTGACTCTGGTTACTCCCAGATACGAGAAGCATGGAGAGACGCCAGGAGGCGCTGCACAGTTACTGCTGGAACATGTGCACCATGGAGCTGTAAGGTGCCCCCAGAGAAGGCTCCTCACCCCTAGCACTTCCCACTTGGGGCCTGCAGTCCAGCTATGTGGGCGTGGAGATGAGGCCTCTCTGTGCCTCAGGGGTCTGGTGGCCACTTTGACTTGTAACCACAGCTATGAAGCTGCGGCTGGTATGACAAACTTAAAACACTCCCGAAAGCACCAAAGTCCACTTGGACCAAAGGAAAAATGGCCCTCATAAGGCAACTCAACCTCATAAATATGCCAAGTCCTCCCAATTAGCATATTAATATATCCCAATAAAATCCTGTTCTGAATCAGGACAAGATGGTTCTAAAGTTCATAAAGAAAAATAATATGTAAAAGTATCTGGGAAAACTCCGAACAAGACTCATAAGGGGTTCCAGCCCCACCAAACACTACAAAATGCCCCAAAGCCTCTAGAGTTAAACAGCATAGTAGTCCATAAGACAGACCGAAGGAACAGAAGAGAAAGACCAGAAACCCAGCATTCGATTAAGGTAGCCTCTCAAACTACTGCAAAAAAGGGGTGGTCTTTCAAAGAATGGTATTGGAAAAACTGGACAGCTTTATAATTATTTATCATTATACATTTTTAGAGATGGAGTCTCACTCTGTTGTCCAGGCTAGAGTGCAGTGGTGTGATAACAGCTCACTGCAGCCTCAAACTCCTGGGTTCAAGAAATCTTCCTACGTCACCCACCCAAGTAGGTGGGACCATAGGCAAATGCCACTATACCAGGCTAACACACACACACACACACACACACAAACACACACACAACTAAATATTAGCAGAAACAAATGAATCTGGGCCGGGCATGGTGGCTCATGTCTCCCAGCACATTTTGGGAGGCTGAGGCAGGAGGATCACCTGAGGTCAGGAGTTGAAGACTAGCCTGGCCAACATGGTGAAACCCCGTCTCTACTAAAACTACAAAAATTAGCTGGGTGACACCTGTAATCCCAGCTACTTGGGAGTCTGAGGCAGGAGAATCGCTTGAACCCGAGAGGCGGAGGTTGCAGTGAGCCAAGATCGCGCTACTGTGCTCCAGCCTGGGTGACAGAGTAAAATTCCGTCTCAAAAATAAATAAATAAATACATAAATAAATAAATATTGTATGACAACTTTATAACATAACCACACCCACAAAATGAATTAACTCAATGAGCTTGAGCACATTAGAATTAAAATTTTTCTAAAGGCAAAAGAAACACAAAGTCATCTTGGTCCATTTACAAGCATGGCTGGATAGCGTCCAACACCCTGCCCAGTATCGTGGTCAGGATCCAGGGCTCTCCCTCCAGGGAAGGACAGAACAGAGTACTCTGAAGGACACTGCTCAGAAAAGGCTGTCACAGATGGGGAGGAATCACCCAAAAACCAACAAGTAGTACAGCCCAAGTACCCAGGCTAATGCAAAATTCTCCTTTAAACTGTACTTTTCATTGGAAAAAAAAAAAGAAAAAGAAAAAAGGACTGATGGGATGCCCCCAGCTGCCCTGCACTGAGCTGTCCTCCTTACCCAACCCTGCCAGGGGAAATCCCACATACACAGTGGACAGGCCCAACCCCAAGGTCTACAGGGCCCCAGCAGCTCCCCAAGGCCACCACTGTCTGTAAAAGGCAGAACCTGACTGTAAGCCTGGTCAGGCTTCCCGTCTGTAGGTGGTTGGTGCCTCACAAGGTGGGTGGTACCTCAGTGCAGGACCCAGTCATAAGCCAAGGCTGCAGAGGGGGAACAGGGCCTGGCTCGTGCAATCAGGTCCCAAACAAGTTGAAAGAGTATGTTCCGTCACCACTGAATTCCATAAATGCGCTGAGAAATGCACATTTTCAATTGTATTTTTAATTGGACGAAGGCATGACTGTCCCACAAGCTGGGACCAGCACGAGGAGTTCAGAGCCCCCTCAGTAGGGTCCTGGCTCGTAATGGAAGATGGGTGCCTCCCACTGGTAGCCTTTCTCTGGAGGGTGCGTCTCACATCACCCCAGGGAAAGACCCCAGGGGCAGAGCTGGCTTCTAGCCCAGGTTTTCTTGCCTACGGGCTGTGTGCTTTTGAGCAGAGCTCCACCTATCTGATGAATGGAGAGGGCAAAGGTACCTGCTCCCAGCATGAGCACGCCACGTTATCCCCATGTAGAAGTGCCTCCTGTCCAGACCTGGGCAAGGGCTGACTATCACTACTATCATGCAGTGAGCAGTAAATCCTCACCTCTCCCCTCTCCCCTGGCCAACTCCTATTTAGTCTTTGGATGCAGATTAAATGTCACTCTGGGGAGGCTTTTCCTGATGCCCCAGAAGGGCAGGTCCCCTAGAACAGATTTTTTTTTTTTTTGAGATGGAGTTTCACTCGTTGTCCAAGTTGGAGTGCAATGGTGCGATCTCGGCTCACTGCAACCTCTGCCTCCCAGGTTCAAGCAATTCTCCTGCCTCAGCCTCCCGAGTAGCTGGAATTACAGACACACGCCACTACATCTGGCTAATTTTTTTTATTTTTAGTATAGAGACGGGGTTTCACTACGTTGGCAAGGCTGGTCTTGAATGCCTGACCTCATGATCCATCTGCCTCAGTCTCCCGAAGTGCTGGGATTACAAACATGAGACACTGCGCTCGGCCTTTTTTTTTTTTTTTTTTTGAGATGAAGTCTCGCTCTGTTGCCCAGGAGGGAGTGCAGTGGCTCAATCTCAGCTCACTGAAACCTCTGCCTCCTGGGTTTAAGCAATTCTCATGCCTCAGTTTCCTGAGCAGCTGGGATTACAGGTGCTTGCCACCATGTCCGGCTGATTTTTGTATTTTAGTAGAGATGGGGTTTTAGCATGTTGGTCAGGCTGCTCTTGAACTCCTGAACTCAGGTGACTAGAAGAGATCTTTCTCCCTCAGGCCCCTGGCTCAGCTGAAGTGAAGTCATGATTTACTCCTGGTGTAACCCCCATGGTAGGAATGCATTGGCCAGGCTGTGGGCTGGCTCAGGACATGTTTGTGGCATGAACACACTCAAATCTAAAGGGTATAATGGCCAGTTGCAGTGGAGCACACCTGTGGTCCCAGCTACTCCGGAGGCTAAAACAGGAGGATCACTTGAGCCCAGGAATTTGAATCCAGCCTAAGCAACATCCTTAGACTTTCTCTCTTTGAAAAAGAAAAAGGTGTGATGAGACCCGGGGGGTACGTACCACAGGTCAGGGTTATCGGTGCTGTTTTCTATGCTGAATTGTTCGATCTCTGGTCCCACCTGAGCAACAAATCTAGCCAGTTTCTCTGCAGTCTCCATTGTCTTCATGTCAACTACAAAACATAAAGCACCTGTCAGGCATGACTCCTGAGCTGCTGCTCCCCGTGTAAACACTGCAGGGTTGTGGAAGCTGATTATAAAGATGGCCTGCGTGTCCCCTCCCTGTAGCCTTGCCCTTCGCCACATGCAGACTCCTTGTCACCAAGTGAACTCTGTGTATCACCCCCTCAAATCAGGGCTGGTCCTGGGACTCAAATCGGCTATAGCATGTGGTGGAAAAGCCTGTTGCCAGTTCCAAGCCTGGGCCTTGGAGGACTCGAGTACTTCTGCTCTCTCTCCTGGAGCCCCAACCCCAATTGCCAGGTGAACAAACATGGGCTGGCTGCTGGGGGGATGACAGGCGCGTGGCCCAGCCATACCATCATCTCAGCTGACAGCCTGGACACCTGCTGCTGATCGCAGACACATGTGTGGGCTAGCTCAGCAGACGACCCAGCCACTGGCAAATTCACAATACCAGATGCCTCCGGGATTTTTTTTTTTTTTTTTGAGACGGAGTCTTGCTCTGTCGCCCAGGCTGGAGTGCAGCGGCGAGATCTTGGCTCACTGTAACCTCCGCCTCCTGGGTTCAAGCGATTCTCCTGCCTCAGCCTCCCGAGTAGCTGCGACTACAGGCACGTGCCACTACGCCTGGCTAATTTTTTGTATTTTTAGTAGAGATGGGGTTTCACCATGTTGCCCAGGCTGGTTGCGAACTCCTGAGCTCAGGCAATCCGCCCGCCTTGCTTCCCAAAGTGCTGGGATTACAAGTGAGCCACCATGCCCGGCTGATGCCTCCTGTTTTAAGCCACAGTTTAGAATGGCTCATGACATAGCAACACCTAGAGAATGCAGCCGTTGTGGACACTTTTTTGCCCTCTCCTTCCCACTTAGTGCTGAGTAGGAAGCACTGGCCAGAGAGCAGGCCTGTGGTACAGAGAGAAGGAAACAGCTAAGGTGACAGAAGAAACAGAAGGGGTGAAGTTAGTCGATTCAGAGGAATCAGTGCAGGTCAGTGAACCCCAAGAACAGGAACTGTGGAGACCCTGGGGATGAGGAGGCAGAATGAGAGAACAAGACAGCCCTGAGGACTATCAAGAGAGGCCAGGATATAGCAGGACACGGGATCCCAAGTTCACGCAACGAACTGCCCACGGCCCCAGCAGCAGAACCCTGTCAGGGAGCACAGAGGCATGGGGCAGCACCTCGTGCCAGCTCCACTCTCAGAAGAGGAGGAGGGAGCTGCAGGACTTGCATGTAGCTCTCTCAAGAAAGTAAGAGAGAAAGCGCCAACACGTGCACTTGTCTTGGCCAGGTCCCTAGGGCTTTTATCCACTGCCTTGCCTAGATTGCAGCCCCCTCTCCCCAGTTCTAGAGAGACCTTGGAGATGGGAGAGTAGGGACTGGGGCCCAGAGGAGGGGGACAGGAGTGAGCACCCACTGTCAGCAGATGGGCAGGGAGAAGAGGTCTGAGGTGCTTCAGAGATGTCCACTCCTGTTGGCTTGGGGGATGGACCTGAGGCTTCTGAGCTGGGGTCCTGAGGAGAGGGTCCAACTGGGTCTGGCGGGCAGTCCTTGTTGGCAGCATCATTTCTGTCTGGCAGGGATGGTTTTGCCTGTGAGAGGCCTGGAGTCTGCCGGCCGTGGTGTTTCAGCCTGGTGCCTGAGGATAGGAGGGTCTGGGTCCCAGTGGTCGCTCTCCTTGCCTTCCAGCCCCGGAGCCCTTGAGCACGGAGGAGCCCCCGCCGCTGCCACGGAAGCAGTTTCTTCTTGAGGTTACGGACAGCCCGGGCATACAGCATGGCCCGCACTGCACACTCTGCCGAGGTCGGCTTCTGGTCGGCTCCTCGCAAGTTCTGGCTCATCCGCTGCATTTCTGCCAACTTCAGCTTGTAATATTTATACTCCAGACTATTTTCATCAGATAAAAACCTACACAACAAAACAGGCATAACAGGACATTTATGAAAACACCACCAGGTCCCAAATTGTTCCTGCAAACACAAATCCTTTCTAAGTGGCCAACTTCTGACTGTCCTCTGCTGTCTCAGAGGCTCTGCCTGGCTCTACTGGGGACCCAGAGCTAAGCCCAAGACAGCTGCCCTGCTAAGAGTGACCGCAGGGCAATCAGGAGTTTGAACCGAGTTCCTCCTTGATTTCCATCAGCACCAGCCATGAGGGAGCTCACAGTTCATTATGGCCTGGACACACAAACCAGTCACCTTGGAGCCACAGCACCCTGGCAGGCAGAATTGACACCTTTTAAATGGCCCAGCCAGGATGAGAGTTCCATGAGCTTTTGACTGTATCAAGGCAAGTGTGATGTGACCCACAAGAGAACATTAACCAAGGAGCCTGTGCCCCAGGTGTGAAGTCTAATGACCCGTCATGATGATGAGAACAGTACAGAAAAGAGAAGGTTGAGTTACACGTACTAACACAGAAAAATATTCAGCTGGGGTGATGGCTCACACCTGTAATCCCAGCACTTTGAGAGGCTGAGGTGGGAGGATCGCTTGAGCCCAGGAGTTCAAGACCAGCCTGGGCAACAAAACAAGATCCCATCTCCACAAAATAAAAAAATTAGCCAGGGTGGTGGTGCACGCCTACAGTCCCAGCTACTCTGGAGGCTAAGATGGGAGGATCACTTGAGCCCAGCAAGTTGAGGCTGTGGTGAGCTATGACTGTGCCACTGCACTCTAGTCTGGGTAACAGAGCAAGACCCTGTCTTTAAAAAAAAAAAAAAAAAAAATCCTTCTCCTTCTAGTGTCTTTACTTTTTTCATCATGTTCCTTCTAGCTTCATGAGTTGATTACAGCTCACTGCAGCCTCGACCTCCTGGGTTCAGGTGATCCTCCCACCTCAGCCTCCCCAGTACCTGGGACTACACGCATGCACCACCACGCCTGGCTAATTTTTGTATTTTTGGTTGAGAGGACATTTCACCATGTTGCCTAAGCTGATCTCAAACTCTTGGACTCAAGGTAGCCACATGCCTCAGCCTCCCAAAGTGCTGGGATTATAGGTATGAGCCACTGCACCTGGCCTACTCTTTATTTCTAATACATTCACCTGAAGTCACTCTTTCTCTTAAGTATTTTTATAACCGCATCTGGTGTATAGTATTTTTCTTGCCACTTCCTTCTAAATTGCTTCTAATTTCAGTTCTGATTATCCTTCACTCAAAAGTTATTCAGAAACGTGTTTTATTTTGGTTGCTGCTGGTTTCTAGTTTGCTGTATTGGCATAATGTGGCCCATGTGAGTTTCCTGGGTGTGCTATGATTTTTCTCTGATTTCATACATAACAAACTTGTAAGTTGGGCGTGGTGGCTCACGCCTGTAATCCCAGCACTTTGGAAGGCGGAGGCAGGTGGGTTGCTTAAACCCAGGAGTTCAAGATCAGTGTGGGCAAAACCCCATCTCTTTAAAAATAAATAAATAAATAACCACCCCACAAAAAACATAACAGACTTTTGTGAATATTTGATTTCAGTTTGTATTAAAGAAGAATATTGCTTAGTAAGTATGGCAGTATTTCAGGTGGCTTTCAGATTGTTTGATATTAAGTAGCGACATACTAGTTATTAGATGAGGTTCCAGATTACCAGTGACAAGCCAACTAGAAGCAAGGTGTTGGCAGCACTGTGTGATGTGGCATGTCCCTGGCAGACAGCTCCGTACACAAGCTCCTGCTGACACTGTTAGTCAGTTGAGGTCTGTCTGGACCTCAGAAGACAGACTGAGGACCGGCTCCACTGCTGCCCTAGCACTCTGTTGGGCTAACGGTGGCATCTTGCAAGATCATGCCCTAACAAGCAATAGTGCTCAATTAAGAGAATGCTGACCAACATGGGCGCTCTGGTTCTCAAGTCAAACACAGCCCCAGCCCTCATCAAGGGCAGAGTGCAGAATCAGGGCCAGGTAACCTGACTGCCCCAGTCACTCATGGCTCTGATGGCTTTCCTTGTTCCTGGATGGTTCTGATGCCAAGTGCAGTCCGAGGACGTCAGTCACAAATGCATCTCCCCAAGTTCCAGTGGAACATAACATCAAGAACACAGAATACTCAACAAGCCAGTCTGCTGGCTTCAAATCTCAGCATAGCCACTCATTAGCTGGGAACCTTTCTGTGCCTCATTTCTCCATCTGTAAGACAGGGAAGATGATAAGCAGTAGCTACTTCATCATATAGCTGTGAGGCCTGCGTTATAAGCTTTTCACTGTGAGGCAAGTGATATGAAAACCGCTCAACAAATATTAGCAGACTGTCTCTGTTTACGCTCATTTGCTGTGTTATAAAATCTTCCACAACCTTATTTGGATTACATTGTCTACCCATTTCACAGAAACATTCATGTCTCCTACCATGGTTTTGGATTCATCCAATTCCTCTTATCATGGTTTTGGACTTAAATTTTTTTTTTTTTGAGACAGAGTCTTGCTCTGTCACTCAGGCTGGAGTGCAGTGGCGCAATCTCGGATCACTGCAACCTCTGCCTCCTGGATTCAAGCGATTCTCCAGCCTCAGCCTCCTAAGTAGCTGAGGTTACAGGCACCCGCCACCACACCCAGCTAATTTTGTATTAATTTTAGAGACGGGGTTTCACCATGTTAGCCAGGCTGGTCTTGAACTCCTGATCTAAGGTGATCTGCTCACCTCAGCCTCCCAAAGTGCTGGGATTACAGTCACAAGCCACCGCACCCAGCTCTGGACCTAAATGATTTCTAAAGGTTGTTTATTTACATAGCTCAAAGCTATGTAGTGCAGGCACCGAGATTCACAATCTATATGTTCGTGATGACTTTCCCTTTTATTAGGAACTTCTTTTGCTCCTTCTAGTGCTGTTCTCCTTAAAGTCTTTTTTGCCCGAAAATTCTCTACCTCCGTTCTTTTTGGTAGCATTCACCTGCTATGCAATTTCCCTTCTCTGTTTTCCAATTCCTGTGTTTTTGCTTCTTTCTCTCTATAGTAGTATGAAGTTATAGACCCCACTTCAGTTCCTTTAATGGCTAATCAACACACATATTTAAACTCTTATTTTGTATCAATATGTAGAATTACCCTTTAGCTCTACCCTCATGTCAAAAAAGACAAAGGCCTGCACACCTACCTCCCTCCTTCTCCTTTTGCCTCACATATTTAGATTATTTGGGATTTTAGTTTCCTTTATTTCACCCCAAACATCAATTATTTAGATTTTTTGTTAACTTTGGGGTGCTCGGATAATCCTGCTGAGGCTAGACCAGAGGGATTCTTAGCCACTTGTTTTCCTGAGTGTGTGAACATGTAGGATCTGGTGGGCTCTCCCTGGAGAGCATGGTCAGGGCTGCCCCACTCCCAGGGGACAATTTAGAAGATGAGAGAAAACAAAGTATGACATATTCCTTCAGCTTTATATCCTGCACTGTTGTGATCATTTTCTAGGCTTGATGCTTCGCACTCTCTCATAGGAAAGGATGGAAGCCTGCCCCTTGGTGTTCCAAACAAGGAAGCAAAGCCATAGTGGATGTGTCTGTCTATACTTCTGATTGATTCATTGATTAATTTGAGACGGTGTTTTGCTATTGTTGCCCAGGCTGGAGTGCAGTGGTGTGATCTCATCTTACTGCAACCTCCGCCTCCTGGGTTCAAGTGATTCTCCTGCCTCAGCCTCCTGAGTAGCTGGGATTATAGGCAGCCACCACTATGCCCGGCTAATTTTTGTATTTTTAGTAGAGATAGGGTTTCATCATGTTGGCCAGGCTGGTCTCGAACTCCTGACCTCATGGGGCCCACCTGCCTCAGCTTCCCAAAGTAGTGGGATTACAGGTGTGAGCAGCCGCGCCTGGCTCTTCTGACATCTTTAGTGTACGACATGAGGCAGGTCACCTCAGCGAAGAGGCAATGGCCAGTTCTGTTCACAAGGCTCCAATGGGAACAAATCATGCTTGTAGGGTGTGACGGTGGAAGGTCTCAAATCTCTGCTGGTCCTCAGAGGGTGGAGATAAGAAGCCATTCTTATATCTGCCTCCTAGAGGTCTGACTTTTTCACTTGCTAACTAAAAAAAATAATGTATTAAGGCTGAATGTGATGGCTCATGCCTATAACCCCAGTGTCCTCCTGGGGATCGGCTGAGCTCCGCATGTTAAAGCACCGCCTGGCAATACATTATGCAGGAGACCCATTTCTTTAAAAAAAAAAACAATTATCTTTATATTATTTATTCTATTAAAAAAAGCACTAGGTCTGAATGTGGTGGTGTGCTCCTGTAGTCTCAGCTACTTGGGAGGCTGAGGCAGGGGGATTTTGCGAGCCCAGGTTGAGGCTGCAGTGAGGTATGATCATGCCACTGTGCTCCAGCCTGGGCAATAGAGTGAGATCTCGTCTCTTAAAAACAAATAAACAAAAAACAAACTTATTAATCCACACATATCTTCATAGAATGTCAACGGTCATGCATAAAACTGTTCAGTAAAGAAAAAGCAGCATAGGCTTATTAAGAGATATAGAGGTGCAGGTGCGGTGGCTCACGCCTGTAATCCCAGCGCTTTGGGAGGCCGAGGTGGGCAGATCACGAGGTCAGGAGATCGAGACCATCCTGGCTAACATGATGAAAACCCGTCTCTACTAAAAATACAAAAAAATTAGCCGGGCATGGTGGCGGGCACCTGTAGTCCCAACTACTCAAGAGGCTGAGGCAGAAGAATGGCGTGAACCCGGGGGGCAGAGCTTGCATGGAGCCGAGATCACGCCACTGCACTCCAGCCTGGGCTACAGAGACTCCATCTCAAAAAAAAAAAAAAAAAAAAAGATACAGAGGTAGCCGTGAGAAGTAGTTTGAAGAACTAAGCAACTGCCTTCAAGGACTGGAACATGGGAACAGGTCACAGCAGAAACATTTGGCTTTTCATTATGCGTTGAACTGTTTTGTTAAATACAACATACAAGGAGCATTTTGACTTAAGAATTCAAACATGCACACCAGAAACCTAAGTTTAGCAGTTTCTTTACTTATTGCTGTGCTTTTGTATCACACTCTTTCCTCTTATAGTACCTTGGTAATTCCTTCTTTTTTTTTTTGAGACAGAGTCTTGCTCTGTCGTACCCAGGCTGGAGTGCAGTGGTGCGATCTTGGCTCACTGCAACCTCTGACTCCCAGGTTCAAGCGATTCTCGTGCCTCAGACTCCCAAGTAGCTGGGATTACAGGCGCCTGCCACCATGTCCGGCTAATTTTTTGCATCTTTAGTAGAGACAGGGTTTTACCATGTTGGCCAGGCTGGTCTCAAACTCCCAACCTCAGGTGATCTGTCCCCCTCGGTCTCCCAAAGTGTTGGGATTACAGGCGTGAGCCACCGCACCTGGCCAGGTAATTCCTTGTGAAGGAGTTTTTGGATGATAAAGTCTCTGGGAACAACTCCTAAATCTGTCCTTCTTCAGGATCTATTCTATCAGCCAACCGCTGAGATTTTTATTTCAATCTATTTTCCATTTCCAAGATCCTGTTAAGGATAGCAACCAGTTTTCTGTTTTCATAGCAACCAGTGTCTGTTTCATGGATACAATATACTCTTATTACCTGAGACTATTCATTACACATACATATTTATAGACGACACCTCCTCTTTCTCATAGTAACTCTCGTCTTCTAGGGTGTCAGAAGTTTGTTGAGTTTGGTGATTCTCTTTCATGATACTGGTTTACCTCAAATATCAGTTCTTACTTTGATGCTTATTTCTATCCAAACACACCCCTGACTCTGGCTTCTGTCTGCCGCACCTGGTTATCAGTGGTCATGAGACCCCTGGGCCATGTGCAGGGGTCATGGGGCAGAGGCACGAGCCCCCAGTTCTCTCAGGGCCTCCTATTCCTCCAGCCTAATAACCTTATCAACCACCTGGAAAGTGCCCCTAGGCCTTCTAAGTCTGGATGCCTTCTTATCAAGAGGGTCTGGTATCTGCTTGCATCTGTCAATCTGGGGCTATCTAGCTTCCTTCCTTCAGCATGCACACTGGTTCAGACCACAGACTCTGGATTTGAATCTCAACTTTGCCTCTTACTAGCTGTGAATCCTCAAGCCAGGAAGACTCTTGGAGCCTCTAAGTTTCTTGTCTGTAAAATAAGCATAGCAATAGACCTGCTTCGCAACATTGTTAATGAGGATTCAATTAGCTAGTGCTCAAATCAGTAATGTGCTTAGAACAGTACCAACTGCACAGAAGGCACAAGTGTTTACTAAATAAAAAGTATTCAATAAATGATGCTGCGACAATTAGGTTATTTGGGAATTTTTAACTTTTAAGTTACATGCCTACCTCATTCAATACATGTAAATAATCCAAACTCAAGAATTTTGTAAAAATAAAAACACAACAAGTTCCAACCTTCCCCTGGGTAAATCATGATGGGAAGGACCAAAGACATGGAAATGTATGCCTTTCAAGCATCTTTAGTAATTACAACAGCAAGAATAACAAGTCCAATACGGGTATAATCTCACTACCAAAAAGGGCACACTCAGGAGGTCAAGGTTGCAGCGGGCTGTGATAGCACCCCTGCACTGCAGCCTGAGCAACAGAGTGAGATCCTGTCCCTAACAAAAACAGAAAACAAAAGAGGGCACAGCACACTTACAGAGTAGCAGTGAGAGGGTCAATTAGTACACATAACCTATGGAGAGTAAACTGATGATAAACATCAATGGTCTCCATCAGGGGCAGCTCTGCCTGCCATGGGACACCAGGCAGTGCCTGGATGTATTCTGGGTTGTTACTAGTGAGATAGAAGGTCCTGCTAACATCAAACGGATAGAGACCACAGATGCTGCTAAATAGCCTGCAATGTCCAGACAGCTCCAACCCTAATACAGAATGATTCAGTCTCAAATGTCAACAGTGCTGCAGCTGAGGCTGGGTGCAGTGGCTCACGCCTGTAATCCCAGCACTTTGGGAGGCCTGAGTGAGCGGATCGCCTGAGTTCAGGAGTTCAAGACACCCTGGGCAACATGGTGGAAAACCCCGTCTCTACTAAATACAAAAAATTAGCTGGATGTGGTGGTGGCACCTGTAATCCCAGTTACTCGGGAAGGCTGTAGGCACCAAGAATTGCTTGAACCGGAAAACAGAGGTTGCAGTGAGCCGAATCCCCCTGCACTCCCAGCCTGGTGACAGGGCGAGACTCTGTTCCAAAAAAAATTAAATAATAAAAGTGCTGCAGCTGAGAAAACTGACATAAATCAAAAGTCTCTAACATGAGCTTTAACCCAGCAGTTTCACCCCAGATATCATGATAAACTGCCAGAAAGGTAGGCAGAAATACAAGCAAGCACTGATCATCACCTCCTTTTTTTAAAAAAAAAAAAAAAAAAAGGCCGGCGCGGTGGCTCAAGCCTGTAATCCCAAGCACTTTTGGGAGGCCGAGACGGGCGGATCCACGAGGTCAGGAGATCGAGACCCATCCTGGCTAACACGGTGAAACCCCGTCTCTACTAAAAAAAATACAAAAAACTATGCCGGCGAGGTAGCGCGGCGCCTGTAGTCCCAGCTACTCAGGAGGCTGAGGCAGGAGAATGGCGTGAACCCGGAGGCGGAGCTTGCCAGTGAGCGGAGATCGCGCCACTGGCAGCTCCAGCCTGGGCGACAGAGCAAACTCCGTCTCAAAAAAAAAAAAAAAAAAAAAAAAAAAGAAAATGTGTCTCGGCCTGGCGCGGTGGGCTCACACCTGTAATCCCAGCACTTGGGAAGCCAAGGCAGGTGGGTCACCTGAGGTCAGGAGTTCGAGAACCAACCTGGCCAACATGGTGAAACCCCGTCTCTACTAAAAATACAAAAATTAGCTGGGTGTGCTGGTGTGCGCCTGTAATCTCAGCTATTTGGAGGCTGAGGCACGAAAATCGCTGAACCCAGGAGACGGGAGTTGCAGTAAGCAAAGATTGCGCCACGGTACTCCAGCCTGGGTGACAGAGCGGACTCTTCTCCTGGCCTGTTCTTTACTTTCTCTAATAAGAAAGTACTATATTTAGGATGCAAACTGTAATTTTAAAAAGTTGTTCTATTCACATAAAGAGGCAGTTTAAGGCCAGGCGCGTGGCTCAAGCCTGTAATCTCACACTTTGGGAGGCCGAGATGGGTGGATCACAAGGTCAGGAGATCGAGACCATCCTGGCTAACACAGCGAAACCCCATCTCTACTAAAAAAATACAAAAAAAAAAAAAACTAGCTGCGTGGCGGCGGGCGGCCTGTAGTCCCAACTACTCGAGAGGCTGAGGCAGGAGAATGGCGTAAACCTGGGAGGCGGAGCTTGCAGTGAGCTGAGATCTGGCCACTGCACTCCAGCCCGGGCAACAGAGCGAGACTCCTCCCCAAAAAAAAAAAAGAGGCAGTTAAGCAAAACACAGTTTAACAAATATTAGCAATAAACTGCAAACAACTGCAATGATGTATTACTAATCTTACTACCCTTACTCTGTATTCTCTGCATGAACATCTCATTGCATCCTTAAAACAGCAAAGCAGGGAGTTGGAGCTGTATTCACAGGTAAGAGAATGCCACCACCCAGCCAGCCTACCACTGCTCTGCAACAGAGCTAGGACTTGCTGAACCGACATAAATCTGAGCCACCCTCATGCTCTTCTCACTGGAGAACACCACTTACTCAAGTATCTCACCCTCTGCTCTCAACACCATCAGAGTGACCCAAATTTTGCCATATACTCCATGAGAAGGATTCACAGGCTGGACATTTAAAGACCTACCAGTAAGCAGGGTCCTCTTTGAGAAGAGTTCTCTCTTTGGGAGACAGGCTGCCTTCGATGACACGTTTCACAAGCTGGTCGATGGTGTCTGCTACCTTGTGATCTGCTCGCTGGGGGACAGCTGGAACACACAGAACAGCTTTTCTGAGAAACGTGCTGACTGTGGGCTCTGGGAAGACGAGGACAGTACAGTAGTTGGGGGCTTAGCACTGAACCCAAGCAGGCGTCAACAACCGAAATCCTCATTCACAAGACACCAGAATTGAAAAGAGGAAAACAACACCTTATTCTACAAACCAATACAGAAAATCTCCTCCTAAAAAATGTAACAGCATAACCACTAGGAGAGAAACAGTCACAGCTTTCAATGACTGGACAGAGCAATTTATTTATATACTCTAGAAAAAGAAAGACGTATAGCAATTTGATATCATTTTTCATGTATCACTTAATAATTTGAATGTTCATAACATTAAAGTGGAAAATATAAATATCAGTTTAAAATACACAAAAAAGGTATCTAGGTTATAGTTCTCAATATAAAGGTGGGAATAAAAAAATATATAAATATGGATACATAGGAAAAGACTATAAGGAAATATGTTAACAGATGTTATAGGGGGTAGTATTATCACGAATTTCATTTTCCTTATGATTTATCTTTAAAACAAAAAAACGGCCAGGCGCGGTGGCTCACGCCTGTAATCCTAGCACTTTGGGAGGCTGAGGCGGGCAGATCACGAGGTCAGGAGATCGAGACCATCCTGGCTAACACGGTGAAACCCTGTCTCTACTAAAATACAAAAAAAAAAAGAAAATTAGCCAGGCATGGCAGCATGCACCTATAGTCTCAGCTACTTGGGAGGCTGAGGCAAGAGCATTGCTTAAACCCGGGAGGCAGAGGTTGCAGTGAGCCGAGATCGCCCCACTGCACTCCAGCCTGGTGACAGGGCGAGACTCTGTTCCAAAAAAAATTAAATAATAAAAAGTGCTGCAGCTGAGGCTGGGTGCAGTGGCTCACGCCTGTAATCCCAGCACTTTGGGAGGCCGAGGTGGGCGGATCACGAGGTCAGGAGATCAAGACCAGCCTGGCTAACACAGTGAAACTCCATCTCTACTAAAAAATACAAAAAAATTAGCCAGGCATGGTGGTGGGCGCCTGCAGTACCAGCTACTCAGGAGGCTGAGGCAGGAGAATGGCGTGAACCCAGGAGGTGGAGCTTGCAGTGAGCCGAGATCGCGCCACTGCACTCCAGCCTGGGCGTCAGAGAGAGATTCTATCTAAAAAAAAAAAAAAGAAACAAATCTTTTCTTTTTCGAGACAGGGTCTCACTCTGTCGCCCAGGCTGGAGTGCAGTGGTCCCATGATAGTTCACTGTAGCCTCGAACTCCTGGGCTCAAGCAATTCTCAGGCCTCAGCCTCCCAAGTAGCTGGGACGACAGACATGCGCCACTACATCTGGCTAATTTTTAAAAATTTTGTAGAGATGAGTCTTCACCATCTTGCTCAGGCTGGTCTCCAATTCTTGGGCTCAAGAGATCCACCCTCCTCTACCTCCCAAAGTGCTGGGATTATAGGTGTGAGCCACCATGCCCTGCCCAAAATATTTTTTAAAGTGTGAATTTCCTCCAATATGACTTTAAATTTACAATGCTGCCAGCAACACAGAAGAACATGTTTCTTCAAATGGTAAGATTGTTTAATTTCCTAATAATTGGTTAGTTTTAAAAGCACAGAATGATGGCTGGGCGCGGTGGCTTATGCCTGTAATCCCAGCACTTTGGGAGGTCAAGGTGGGCGGATCACCTGAGGTTGGAAGTTCGAGACCAGCCTGACCAACATGGGAAAACCCCATCCCTACTAAAAATACAAAATTAGCTGGGCATGGTGGCACATGACTACAATCCCAGCTACTAGGGAGGCTGAAGCAGGAGAACTGCTTGAACCTGGGAGGCGGAGGTTGCGGTAAGCTGAGATCACGCCGTTGCACTCCAGCCTGGGCAACAAGAGCGAAACTCTGTCCCAAAACCAAAAACAAACAAAAAAGCACAGAATGGTCTATTTGTTCAGCCATTCAGTTAAAATCACTGCTGAACTAGCAAGGTTTTCCAGTTTGTTCTGTAAATGATTGCACAGTCCTGTGCCCACCTGTGTCCATGTTACAGCTTTGAGCTTATTTTAAACACTAGTGTGAGCTCTTCACACATGATGAGCCAATCCTTCAACTGCCACGTTATTCCAAGTATGTCCCCTTTGAAACTGCTTTTTTTCATGGCTCTCTTTTTACAGAACTACTAGTTTTACGTGATTTTATAAAAGATGTTGAGGTTTATAGTCAGCAATGAAATTTGGGGACCCCAGCTAATTTGGTCATCTTTAGCTAGGAAGACCATGAGCAAGAGTCAGAAAGTGGGACACAGCTTTGGTCCAGCAATCCTACTCCTGAGAATGTATCCTTTCAAGAATTAAAAAAAAAAAAAAATAATAGTAATAACCAAAGCATTCAATCAAATATGTCATTCCAGCATTTCTTTTTTTTTTTTTTTCCCTAGACGGACTTTTGCTCATCACCCAGGCTGGAGTGGAGTAGCACGCTCTAAGCTCACTGCAACTTCCACTTCCCAAGTTTAAGCATCTCTCCTGCCTCAGCCTCCCAAGTAGCTGGGATTATAGGTGTGTGCCACCACGCCAGGATAATTTTTGATTTTTAGTAGAGACAGGGTTTCATCACATTGGCCAGGCTGGTCTCGAACTCCTGACCTCAGGTGATCCACCTGCCTCAGCCTCCCAAAGTGTTGGGATTACAGGTGTGAGCCACTGCACCTGGCCCATTCCAGCATTTCTTTTTTCCTTTCCTTTTCTTTTTTTTTTTGGAGACGGAGTCTCGCTCTGTTGCCAGGCTGGAGAGCAGTAGCAAGATCTCGGCTCACCGTAACCTCTGCCTCCCAGGTTCAAGCAATTATCTTGCCTCAGCCTCCCGAGTAGCTGGGACTACAGGCACATGCCACCACGCCTGACTAATTTTTTGTATTTTTAGTAGCAACAGGGTTTCACCGTGTTAGCCAGAATGGTTTCGATCTCCTGACCTCGTTATCCCTCTGCCTCGGTCTCTCAAAGTGCTGGGATTACAGGAACGAGCCACTGCACCTGGCCCATTCCAGCATTTCTTTCTTTCCTTTTTTTTTTTAGATGGAGTCTCACCCTGTTGCCCAGGCTAGAATGCAATGGCACGATCTCGGCTCACTGCAACCTCCGCCTCCCGGATTCAAGCGATTCTCCTGCCTCAGCCTCCCAAGTAGCTGGGATTAGTCACACGCCTCCACATTCAGCTAATTTTTGTATTTTTAGTACAGATGGGGTTTCATCATGTTGGCCAGGCTGGTCTCGAACTCCTGATCCACCCGCCTCAGCCTCCCAAAGTGTTGGGATTACAGGTGTGAGCCACCATGCCTGGCTCCATTCCAACATTTCTAACAGGAACATGAGCAGCGGTGGGGAAGCCTCATGAGATGTGGGCCCTGCCGCCAGCTATCTCGCTATCCAGACAGGGAACTGAGGCTTGCAGATGCCAACTACATGTGAACCCAGGTCTGTCTGGCTTCAGAAACCTCTAGTAAAAGGCAGCATGAATCCAGCATCAAGGGAAAGGTGAGGTAATTTACATCAGGTCAATATCACGATGTAGCAAAGGCTGTGGAAACAAAGAGGGCTTTCTGGCAATCACCTAGAAAAGCAGGCGGTAGCATTTTCAGTCCAGCACGCCTGCAGCTGCAGGAAAGCATGGGGAACATCGAAGGCTGTGGGAGGGTAAGTGGGTGGGTTACAACCACTTTAGGTTATGGGTGACTTTTCTTCCTTCAAACAGTATCCCATCACTTTGTGAAGGGTTGGGGAATAGGGTCCCTTCAGCCCTGAGCCTACTTCTGGAAGGATTCCTCTCTGGGGGTAGGATGTGGCCACCTGTATGTGGTGGGACCTATCCAGTGTCTAGTGCCGTTGGGGCTTCATGAGGGTGGTGAAAGAGCAAAGAAAGTCAGGAACAAATGAGACTTCCCCACTGGGCTGGGGGCAATGGAAGGTGAAAACCACGTCAGTGGGAAAAGTGCTTTCTCCCTATCACAAGAGTTAAGACAGCATGGTTACCATGTATGCTTGACATCTCTGGGATGTCTGGGCTGTGAGAGCCCATTCTGGGAGTTTAGGAGGAAGGAACAGGGAAATCAAACAGCTTATCACTTCTATTTCTCTTCCTTGGCCTTTTCCTCTCCCCAGAAAGCCAATGATAACTGCTAATTAGCAGGTGTACTTAAGTAATTCACCAACTTTAGCCAGTCTAGGAAAGTGAGTAGGGCGAAAAGGTGCATCCACTATGTGGAATGACCTGGCTGGTCCCTACACATCCTTCAAGACAGCTCAAGCATGACCTCCACAACTCTCCAGGCTGGGCTGGAGCCTCTCCTGTGTCACTTTAATTCTAGCACAGGGGTGACTGTTTTTTGTTTTGGTTTATTGAGAGACAGGGTGATGCTAGCCCAGGCTGGAGTGCAGTGGCTATTCACAGACGCAATCACAGGTCACTGCAGCCTTGAACTCCTGGTCTCAAGCAATCCTCCCTCCTCAGCCTCCCGAGTAGCTAGGATTACAGATATGTGCTACCACCCCTGGCTCACGAGTGACTGGACTTTGTGATTTTCTTCCCTCAGGAGACTGGGGATTCCTCAGAGACCATGCTCTGTGTTTTTTCTCCCTTCTAGTAATACCTTGTGGGGACATGTTGGAACAAGGGTTCCAAGCCAGGTGCAGTGCCTCACGCCTATAATCCCAGCACTTTGGGAGGCTGAGGCGGGTAGATCACTTGAGCTCAGGAGTTTGAGACCAGTCTAGGCAACATGATTCTCTACAAAAAATACAAAAAAAGTTAGCCAGGCACAGTGGTACAAGCCAATAGTCCCAGCTACGCAGGAGGTTGAGGTGGAAGGATCACTTGAGCCCAGGAGGTTGGGGCTGCAGTGAGCCATGATCATGCCACTGCACACCAGCCTGGGCGACAGGGCATGACCATGTCTCAAAAAAACAAAAACAAAGAAAGAAAGTCAAGCCTTCTTTCTTTCAAAGATTAAAAAGAAAAAAAAAAAAAAAGGAATAAGGGTTCTTAACCTTGGCTGCAGAAAGGTATGAACCCCTCAGAAGATATAGGTAAAATTGTGTATGAATAGATGAGCATTTTTTCTGGCAATGGCCACAGCTTTCTACCAAATCCCGAGAGGTATCTGACCTAAAAATGTCCAAAGATTTTTGTTTTTCTGAGACAGAGTCTTGCTGTTGCCCAGGCTGGAGTACAGTGGGGTGATCTCAGCTCACTGAAACTTCCACCTCCCAGGTCCAAGTGGATTCTCCTGCCTCAGCCTCCCGAGTAGCTACGATTTTGGGTGCGTGCCACCACACCCGGCTAGTTTTCGTATTTTTAGTAGAGATGGGGTTTCACTATGTTGGCCAGGCTGGTCTTGAACTCCCGGTCTCAAGCAACCCGCCACCTCGGCCTCCCAAAGTGCTTGAATTACAGGCATGTGCCACCACATCCAGCTGTCTAAAGACTTTTATGGTAAACAGCAGATTCCTAAGACACATTCACAGAATGAACGGCAGACATATATTGGCCAATGTGCATTTTCTACTAAAATCTTGATTTGTTTCCAATTGGCTAAAGAGCTTCTGTGTAAAAAAATCTCAAATAAAAGACATTACCAAATAAAGATGAAAAACAACAAATAGAAACTTTGGCTGTTTTCCTTACCATCACTCAGACTACTTGGAGCCTTGGCCTGAATTTCGGGTTTGGTAGGAGGAATCATTTTCTCCTCCTCTCGCGTCGGCTCTGGTTCGGCTTTCTTAACCTGAAGGGGACACCCGCTGCTGACTAGCCAGGCCTTCAGGTGGTCTATGTACTCTCTCCCAAACAAAGTGGAGTCTTCGAAGTTTGGAAATGCAGCAGGTGATGGAGCTATATCTTGCAGGCCGACAGCTTCTAAGATTTTCTCTTGCCGGAAAGAAGAGGCCAAGGAGAATGTCTGTCCCAAAAGGGCCAAAGACTTCCGGCAGAGAGAATTGGTGGTTTCTAGGGCAAGAGCCAAGTCCAGGGGGTTACTGAGGGTCTTCATCTTGACACTCAGCTCGTAGGCATTGCAGGCCATAAGCAGAGGTGTGACACTCTTCAGAAGCCGGTCTTGAAGTCTCATTATGTACTTGTCAAAGGGCTTTATGATTTCAAAAAAGCAATTTTTGGTCTTCACAGCACCTTTGTCTAAAAGCATGTTTAAAAACTCATTATCAACTCTGGGTGTTTTCAAAGCAGAGTGCTTTAAAAATTTGATAGTAAAAAAGCAAAAATCTCTGTGCTCTGGTTTTAAGGAACATTTGAATGAGGCAAGCATTTTAGCACAGGTTTCTGTTTCAAGTTCAAAGAGAGTCTGGAAAAGCTGGGAAAATTTAATATCATCTTTTATGGTGTGGAATCCTGCCCATTTGATTATTTCTATCCCAAATCTTGAAAAAACATCAGACTTATCTACGATGTCAAAGCTCATCTTTCTTCTGGGGAGCCGAAGATTCTTCAGATCCAGCCCCAGAGGGATCTTCTGAATGGGGAACTGGATATCTTCTGTCCCTGGGTTTGTCCCCAGGGTCACATCAGGACTTGGAGTGGTTTTCTGGATTTGGTTAGTGCCCTGAGTTTTGGGAGTAATACGATTCATGGTGGGTATTTTTTTTGTGCTCACATTTCTCAATGTGACAAGTTTCCCAACACCCCCCTTAGCTGTGAGCAGGCCCTGAGACTCCCCCTTTCCTAGGAGGGAACCTTCCTGGTCAACGATGTTTAAAGCTCGGCCTCTGGCCTGGACTTGACTGCTGCCCCTGAGCACAGAGTCAGCCTCCCCAGGATGGTCCACGTCATAATCCCGACTCTCCTTCTCCAAACACTCTTTCTCAATCAGTCTGGAAGATCCAAAGTCTCCCAACACTGCAGAGGGACCAAAACTATACTCCTGTGACCAAGAGGAGGACTCTTGAGAAACTGGATGGCCAAAGTCTTGCTCCCAAGAACCACGGAGCGCAAATTTCCAGTCCTGAGAACGGAAATGTCCCAATTTCCGGTGGCCAATGACCTGGTCCCGAGAATCAGAGTGAGAAAATTCCAGATCCCGGCCACATTCTTTGCGAAAGTAGCTGTCATCACTGATGGAAGGGTTGCTTGATCTGAAGGAAGGCCCTGGAAATACGTCACTTCTCAGGCCTTCTCTTCCGGCGTCTCGCGAGTGAGCTACAGATCCACTGAGGGAGTATCTGCTATCGCTGTGGACATCATCATACATCTCTGCTCTGGATCTTGGGACTGCCCTTAAGAGATCTGAAATAAACCATTCAAAAAAAGAAGAAGCCAAAAGGTACTTTAGACCAGAGGATGCAAACAGTGCAAACAAACAGTCCACGGATCACCAGGCAGGAAAAGTGCTTTATACACCTCAGTGCTGTTCGCCAATCCGTATTTGTTGCTAACATTTAAAATGTGTGTGGTGTCATTTAAAAATCTGGATCGACTACTTACTAAAACAGGAGATCTAAAAGCACCAACCCTGAGTTTGCCCTGATGACAATCAACCCAGGATGGGCAGCAGCAGCCCAACGGGCAAGACACAGACTCTCTAAGTTGGCACCAACAGCCCTCGCTCACTCAGATCCCCTACTCTCTAGCCATCTGGGTTGGCAATCCCTCTTTTAGTCTGAGGAAAGGGTGTTTGGTCCCCAAATAACCTGGATATCTTTACTGCAACTGGAACACTTCTGTGTTTCTACTTCTATCTCAGAACAGATAGGTTTTACTGAGGTTACCTGCCTTCACCACTTCCTAGAAGGAAGTCTCAGCCCACGGTGCAACCGTGAGGCTAGATGAACCATAGCTAACACCACACCCACCACAGCTGACCCAAAGTTGGCTGAACCTATCCCTTGGAAAGGTAGGCCAGGCCAATCAACCCTCTCTCTGGAGCTGAAAAACCACAGACTGAGGCAGGCAGGAGGGAGGGCAGAAGCTTAGCAAGATACATCAAGAGAGGCCATGATGGAAACGGAACAGTGTCTACTTCTGTCCTTCTCCATGTAGAAAAGGGGAAATGGGTCAGGCACAGTGGCTCAAACCTATAATCCCTGCACTTTGGGAGGCCGAGGTGGGAGGATCACTTGAGCCCAGGAGTTTGAGACCAGCCTGGGCAACATAGCAAGACCCTGTCTCTGTCAAAAAGAAAAAAGGGCATAGGGGAAGATATATTTGCATTTGCTTAATCACATGGAGAAACTGTAAGAAGCAAGGAACAGAAGCGATGAACTATGGGCATATGAGAACAGCGGGCCTCAGGGAGAGTTTTCATGGAGTGCCTTTCTTTCTAGCTTTTCAATCAGAATCAATGACCTAGTTTAAAAAAAAAAAATGAATAGGGAAAAGAGAGGTGCCAGGAGGTAGTAATGGGTTAAGAGGCCACAGGAAGCCAAAGTGTGTATAAATCCTAGTTCATTTGTTCAACAAGTACAAACTGGGCACCTACTGTGTGCAAGCACAGTACTAGGCACTGAAGTTATGGCAAGAAAATAAGAACTCTCTGAAATGTGTCAGTTGAGAGAGTCAGACAAAAAACAGTAATATATCAGATACAAGTAAGTACCAAGAAGACAAATCAAGCAGGTGGGAACCTGAGAAGGCAATGACATTTTGAGACAGGCTGGTCAAGGAGAGTAGCTCTTTTTTTTTTTTTTTTTTTTTGAGACGGAGTCTGGCTCTGTCACCCAGGGTGGAGTGCAGTGGCCGGATCTCAGCAAGCTCCTCCTTCCGGGTTCACGCCATTCTCCTGCCTCAGCCTCCCAAGTAGCTGGGACTACAGGCGCCCACCACCTCGCCCGGCTAGTTTTTTGTATTTTTTTAGGAGAGACGGGGTTTCACCGTGTGTAGCCAGGATGGTCTTCGATCTCCTGACCCTCGTGATCCGCCCGTCTCGCGCTCCCAAAGTGCCTGGGATTACAGGCTGAGCCACCGGCGCCCGGCCAAGGAGAGTAGCTCTAACATTTTTTTTTTTTTTTTTAGACAGAGGGTCTCACTCTGTTGCCCAGGCTAGAGTATTGGAGCACTGGAGTGCAGGGGCGCGATCTTGGCTCACTGCAACCTCCACCTCCCGGTTCAAGCTGTTCTTTCTGTTTCAGCCTCCCTGGGTAGCCTGCGATTACAGGGGCCCGCCACATTTTTGTACTTAGTAGAAGACGGGGTTTCCCCATGTTGGCCAGGCTGGTCTCAAACTCCTGACCTCAGGTGATCTGCCCACCCTGGCCTCCCAAAGTGCTGGATTACAGTTAAGCCCACTGCACCCAGCCATTTTTTTCCTTTTTGTTTTGAGACAGGAACTCACCTGTGGCCAGGGGGGGGCCGTTGGGAGTACAATGGGCAACAAACACGCTACTGCAGGCCTCAATTCCTGGGCCACCAAGCCAACTTCCGTGCCTCAGCCTCCCAAGTAGCCAGAGCCATAGGTACATGCCACCATGCCCAGATAACTTTTTATTTTTTGTAGAGAGGGAGTCTCACTTTTTTGCCCAGACTAGTCTGTAACTCCAGGGCTCAAATGATCCTCTTGCCTCAGCCTCCCAAAGTGGTGAGATTGCTGGTGTGAGTCACTGTGCCCAGGCCCCTAATCTTTCTGGAGGTAACTAAGATATGTATTGGTGCTTGAGTCTCTAGGTAAAGTTAAAGATTTAAATCTCCATCTAAATAAAACATAAATATTCAGTATTACACACATGCATTACACTAAAACAACTAAAGAATGCACAAACACCATGGATACGGTTATACCTCAGAGGGATAAGCAAGCAGTTAAGAGAACTTCAATTTTAACCTTTACTTCTTATTTGTTCAATCATCTCTTATACCAGCGCAAATGGTTTTGTCTGTGTAGTACTCTGTGATTCATTGAAACTCAAGACTCTGAAGACAATCTCCTGAGCTCCCGCCTTCTGTCAGCCGTCCCAGAGTCACCCCCCAGTTCGTTATCTCCTACCCCAACACACTTAGAAGTCACCAACCACAGGCGACTCCTCCACCCAGCTGGTGTCGGCTGGGGCACAGCACGTCTGTGCTACCGCAGACAGGCCGCGAGTGCGTACCCCGATCGTATCTCTTCCTGACGGAAACGGCAACCTAACGTCACGCCTAAGGACACCTGCAAAGGTTCTCCCGGACGGGAAGGCGCACCTGTGAATCTGTCTTCGAGCGGCCTTTTCACCACGGCAGATGCTCGAGGACAGGAGGCAATTCAAGCGTACGAGTATCCAACGCCAGCCACGCACGCCCAGTGTGAGGCCCAGGCCGAGGCTGAAGACCTTCCTGCTCATCCGCTGCCAGATCCGTGCCCGGCATGTCTCCCTTTCACTCTCTGCTGAGCATGGTGTGATCACAACCTTATAACACGGGAGTTTCTCAGGACAGAAGGAGAGAGAACAAAAACAAGCAAGCATCTACTAACACAGGCCCCCTCACGCACCTCTGTCCGCTCCTATATTACGTGCCTATCTCTCTCTGCACTCGCCTCTAGAACGCGCTAGTGGGGACGCCAGCACAACGCATAGACGAGACCGCAATAAGTGTTCACTAACAAAAACTCCATGGATCAAACAACACCGGGGAGACATGAGGACGACGCAGAGAACTCACCGAGACACATAGCACGCGCCCTCTCTATCAACACGTCACCTCCAGCATCCGCTGGCGGGTGCGGCTGCTCACCGCTGTAATCCAGCACTTTGGGAGGACGAGGCGGTGGATCACAAGGTCAGGAGTTCAAGACCGCCTGACCAACATAGTGAAACCCATCTCTTACTAAAAAAAAATACAAAAAATTTAGCCGGGCATGGTGGCAGGCGCCTTGTAATCTCAGCTATTCGGGAGTGAGGTAGGAGAATTGCTTGAACGTGGGAGGCAGGGCTGCAGTGAGCCACGTCACTGTACTCCAGCCTGGGCGACAGTACAAGACTTCGTCTCAAAAAAAAAAAAAATTAATGGTGATGGGGAGGAGCCAGGAAATGGATCCAAGAAGCCTGTCTTGGTGCTGTGAGAAGTGGCTCATGCCTGCAATCGCAACACACTGGAGGCAGAGTGGGAGGATAGCTTGAGCCAGGAGTTGCAGACCAGCCTGAACAACATAGCACGACCCATATCTATTAAAGAAAAAAAAAAAAAAAAAAAACACCAAAAACAAAACTGGGCTGGGCTCGGCAGCTTATGCCTACTCCAGCATTTTGGGAGGCCAGGCAAGCGGATCACCTGAGGTCAGGAGTTTGAGACCAGCCCAGCCAACATGGTAAAACCCATCTCTACTACAAATACAAAAATTAGCTGGGCGTGGTGGTGCATGCTGTAATCCCGCTACTCAGGAGGCTCGAGACAGGAAAACCGCTTGAACTCAGGAGGCAGAGGTTGCAGTGAGCCGAGATCCCTCCAATGCCCTCTAGCCTGGGAGACAAGAGTGAAACTCTGTCTCAAAACAAACAAACAAACAAAACTGTCTTGAGGTGGGTCGGGGAGGATATACTGCGAGAGGCTCCAGATATCTGCATAATGATGACTGACAGATCAAAACATTATCCCCTGACCAAGTGCAGTGGCTCATGCCTATAATCCCAGCACTCTGGGAGGCAGAGATGGGAGGATGGCTTGAGCCTAGGAGTTCACGGTTGCAGTGAGCTAAAACTGTGCCATTGTACTTCAGCCTGGGGGAGACAGTAAGACCCTGTCTCAAAAACTAAACCAAACCAAAATAAAAAACCATTATCTCCTAAATAAGGAATGTAAGGATCAGAGGACTGGTATTATTTGCCCAAGGTACTGCAATCTTCCTGCCGTGGCCCTAAGATACACCCCCCAACCAAAACAACAACAATACTTTATTTTACCTTGAGCTTTAAACTGAAGAGTTTCGCTTACAGCCTCACCGCTGGCATCCATGTGGTATCGCTTGGCTTTTTCTTGTAATACAGCATCAAAAGTCTCCTGTGTAATTCGTCTGGCTGCCATGTTATTTTGCCCTATGGTGAGATAGAAAAAACTACACTAAGAGTCACAACTTGGGGCTGGGCACAGTGGCTCACGCCTGTAATCCTGGCACTTTGGGAGGTTGAGGTGGGCGGATCGCCTGAGCTCAGGAGTTCGAGACCAGCCTAGGCAACATGGTGAAACCCCCGTCTCTACTAAAATACAAAAAATTCAGGCTGCGTATGGTGGCTCACACCTGTAATCCCAGCACTTTGGGAAGCTGAGGTGGGCGGATCATTTAAGATCAGGAGTTCGAGACCAGCCTGGCCAACATGGCAAAACCCTGTCTCTACTAAAAACACAAAAATTAGCCAGGCGTGGTGGTGTGTACCTTTAATCCCAGCTACTTGGGAAGCTGAGGCAAGCAAATTGCTTGAATCTGGGAGGTGGAAGTTGCAGTGGGCTGAGATCATGCCACTGCACTCCAGCCTGGGCAACAGAGTGAGACTCCATCTCAAAAAAAAAAAAAAAAAAAGCACCAGGCATGGTGGCACGTGCCTGTAATCCCAAATACTCAGGAGGCTGAGGCATGGGAATTGCTTGAACTGGGGAGACAGAGGTTGCAGTGAGCTGAGATCATGCCACTGCACTCCAGACTGGGGGACAGAGCGAGACTCTGTCTCAAGGGAAAAAAAAAAAAACACACACACACACACACACACACACAAAAAACTGTGCTCACAGAACCTGTTCTATTTCACCTAATCCTCAAAGTAAGGAGGCAGTAATCCATAATCCTCGCATGGAACTTCAGAGGCAGGCTGGACCCTTTTTATTTTTTATTTATCTTTAATTTTTTTAGTAGAGATAGGGTTTTGCCAGGTTGGCCTGGTTGGTCTCGAACTCCTGACCTCAAGCGATCTGCCCACCTTGGATGGACTCTTTTAAGGGGGCCTCTGCCCTCACGAAGTTCACAGGTGTGTGCTGGCTGAAAAGGAGCAAAGACAAATCTCTGAGCCCATCTCCTTGGAATCCATTAAAAGCAGCTCTGTGAAAGCAGTTCTATCTGCTGGAGGAAGGTGTCAACCAACACACGTAACTGAGCATAACAGAGTAGGAAGGGTGGGACCACAACCCTCGCAAATCGTGGTTAGGAAAGAAGAGATCAATCTTTTTTTTATTTCTTTTTTTGAGACTCTGTTGCCCAGGCTGGAGTGCAGCGGCATGCTCACTGCAATATCCGCCTCCCGGGCTCAAGCAATTCTCCTGCCTCAGCCTCCTGAGTAGCTGGGATTACAGGAGTCCGTCACCGCATCCGTCTAATTTTTACATTGTAGGCAGAGATGGGGTTTCACCATGTTGGCCAGGCTGGTCTTGAATTCCTGACCTCAAGTGATTCGCCCACTTCGGCCTCCCAAAGTGCTGGGATTCCAGGCGTGAGCCACTGCGCCCGGCCCAGGATCGCTCTATTCCCATTTCACAGACTCAGTAGTGCACAGAGGCTCTGAGAACTTCCTTCCCTTCTAAAAGAAGCCTCTTGACGGTGAGTGGCGGGACCCCCAACCAGTGACAATGAACTAGTGACAGAGTCCATTCTGTGCTGGGTCCTTGCGCGATCTCCCAACCACCCACTGAAGAGGCGGGTCCTGTTACCAATGACATTAGGGTGAGGAGGCAAAGGGAGACAGACTCAACGACCCATTCAAGATCAGACAGCCCAGATTTGAACCTGGCAAAGAGCGTATTCATGCATCCAAAGCCCCGAAGAATGGGTAAAAAGATTAAGAAGCAACATTTTGGGGTCCAGGGGCTGCATCCTTAACAAACATCAAGATATCCCGCCTCGCAAAATCTCCAACTTTAAGACGCAACCCGTAGGGTCGATTTCCCATCACGATCTCCCCCTCGTCCCATCCGTCAGCCCTTTTCCCTGGGTGCCCCCTTGTTCTCTGCTGGCAAAGGGCAGGGTTCCAGGGTCAGGTGACCCAGGTTCAAATCACACGATCCTAAGCTTTCTGTGCCTCCGTTTCCCTACCTACGGAAAGGGCAGCTAGTAAACGGGCTGGTGTGTGGGCTGAACCGGTTCTAAAGAGGGGAAGGGCCCGATGCAGCGCTGGGCGCCGTTATCTCCTCCCCAGCGGGGGCCGCTCCGAGTTCGGGAGGAATGAATGAACGACTGAACCAATGAGCCTTTGTGGAAGCGGCCCGCCGTCTCCCGGTCTCTGAGGGCGAGGAAATAGGGGCGACGGGCCCGGGAGGCCGCAGCCGGCCACCCAGGCCAACCTGGTGGGGACGCGGCCGCCGCCGCAGCCAGAGGGCCAAGCCTGCGACGCCATCACGGAGCCCGGGGCGGGACCCCAAGGCCGAGTCCGAGCCTCCCACCCCGGGACCCACCCACCGACGACGCCAGGGCCCGGGCCTCACCCCGAGACCACCGCGCGCGGAGCCGCCCCCGCCGCCGCCTCAGGCTCCTCACCCGCCGCCGCCGCCGCGCGAGGCGGGGACATGCAAATGAACCAACGGTCTCCGCAGCGCCGCGCCGCGCAGGCGCAAGCCGCCGCCGAGTCCTGGTGCGCCGGCGCGGGCCGCCGCTGCCCGGCTCTCTTGCGCAAGCGCGGTGGCCGCTTCTTCTGGGCGGACGCTCTGGAGGCAAAACATTTCCCTGCTGGGGGCGGCGAGCACCGTGACCGTCCCGGAAAGGGTGGCAAAGACGCCTCCGTCGCGCACGACGGGGCCTCGTTGTCTTTACCTTGGTTTGCGGTCGTCCTTGGTTATCGTGAGCCGTCCGCAGGGCTCTGGGAGGCCGAGCCTGGGGGCGCCACGGCGCCTGCGCGCGTACGGCGGCCGGAAGGGGCTAGAGGCAGCGCCCTGGGTGACAGCCGTGCGCCCCACCTTTCCCCACGTGGCCGCGAAGACCGGGTGAGACGCGGCGGCTGCCGAAGCCTGTCGCGCGCGGATTGGGGAGTGGGGGCGCCGTAGGGTCGGGCTGGCGCGACCCTCGGGTACGTGGTCTGGGGGGAAAAAAATTGAAAGAATTTTACAGAAGCCGCCTGGGGATAAAATCCCCGGCTTCTCCGGCCTTCGCTTTCTTTTCATTCATTTTGTTTATTCATTCATTACCTGTGCACTGAGTGGCTGCTGTGTGTTGGGCCCCGTCCTAGGCAGTGAGGACAAGGAGGCTACAGGGTACAAATAATTGAGTGAACGATGTCGCTCTAGATACGGGTGATGGTGTGTAAATAAAAGAGTGATGGGACGGGAGAGCAGGGCTGCTGTTTACCTGGAAGTGGCCTTGAAGAGTATCTCTTGAGTGCTGGGAAGGATGAGAAAGGCGGGGAAGAGCAGCTGGAAAGGCTTAGGTAGAGAAAGTGCCCATAAGGAGGCTGGGTTTTGTTCTGAGAGGGTTGGGAAGCCACTACTGGGCTTTGAGCAGGTGAGTGAGGTGGAGTCTAGGCTCTGGGAGTGGCAGGTGAGGCCGCCCTTATGGGAGGCTGGTGTTTGAACCAGAGTGGGTGTGGCTGGTAGAAGGAGATGTGGATGGAGTCTTTTAGGGTCCCCAGCATGTTATGGCACACTTCTCTAATTTTCTTTTGAGACGAAGTCTCTCTCTGTCGCCCAGGCTAGAGTGCAGTGGCATGATCTCGACTCACTGCAACCTCCATCTCTCGGGTTCAAGGCATTCCCCTGCCTCAGCCACCGGAGTAGCTGGGACTACAGGTGCGCAACACTGCACCCGGCTAAATTTTGTAATTTTTAGTAGAGACGGGGTTTCTCCCTGTTGCCCAGGCAGGTCTCAAACTCCTGGCCTCAAGTGATCTGCCCGCATTGGCCCCCCAAAGTGCTGGGATTACAGGCATGAGCCACCGCGCCCGGCCCCCCCTTATTTTTTCTTTTGAGACAGAATCTTGCTGTTGCCCAGGCTGGAGTGCAGTGGCGAGATCTCTGCTCACCGCAACCTCCACTCGCCAGGTTCAAGCGATTCTCCTGCCTCAGCCTACTGAGTAGCTGGGATTACAGATGTGCACTATCTTGCCTGGCTAATTTTTTGTATTTTCAGCAGAGACAGGATTTCGTTTTGTTGGCCAGGCTGGTCTCAAATTCCTGACCTCAAGTGATCTACCTGCCACAGCCTCCCAAAGCGCTGGGATTATAAGCGTGAGCCACCACACCTGGCCAGCAGTTTTCTTGAGCAGAATCCTGGCTGAGAGAAGGAAACTGGCTGCCAGTTAGGGGCCTTACTCACCTTCTGTTTTACCCTCAGCATGCCTGATGGATCACAGGGACTGGTACTGCTGTTTCCCCCCTTTCAGCCTAGGCTGTTCTCCAGGTAATTCTTACTTGGCCATCCCTAGGCACCATTTTATGTGTTTCAAATCTGTACTTTCCTCCCCCAACCCAGCCCTGTGCCAGATCTAGGGGACCTTGGAGGACTCAGGTCAGGGGTGGTCACAGAGCCAGACCTCCCCAACTCACCTCAGGAGTGGGTGGAAGGGAGGGGTTGTGGGTTGGGGAGAGGAGGCCAGAGAGCACGGGCTCTGAGTAGCCAGGAAAGGCAGCCACTTGGAAGGGCTGACAGAAGCTCCGCAGAGGACTGAGAATCCGAAGTATATGCGACAGGTGTCAATCAATTTAGAAAGTTTATTTTGGCCGGCCCGCGGTGGCTTCACGCGCTGTAATCCCAAGCACTTTGGGAGGCCCGAGGCGGCCGGATCACAAAGGTCAGGAGATCGAGACCCATGGTGAAACCCCGTCTTCTACTAAAATACAAAAAAACCGAGCCGGGCGCCGTGGCGGGCGCCTGTAGTTCCAGCTACTCGGGAGGCTGAGGCCAGGAGATGGCGTGAACCCAGGAGGGCGGAGCTTGCAGTGAAGCCAGGATCCCGCGCCACTGGCACTCCCAGCTTTGGTGACAGAGCGAGACTCCGTCTCAAAAAAAAAATAAAAAAAAAAAAAGAAATTTTATTTTGCCCGCCGGGCCGCAGTGGGCTCAAGCCTCGTAAATCCAGCACTTTGGGGACGCCCAGACGGGCGCGATCACTGAGTCACAGGACGATCGAGGCCACCTCTGGCTAACCACGGGTGACAACGCCCGTCTCTACTCAAAAAATAGAACAAAAAACTAGCCCGGCGGGTGGGCGGCGCCTGTAGTCCCAGCTACTCGGAAAGGCTGAGGCGGGAGAATGGCATAAACCTCCGGGAGGCAGGAGCCTTGCCCAGTGGAGCTGAGATCCCGGTCCACTGCTACTCCAGCCTGCGGGACCAGAGTGAAACCTCCGTCTCACAAAAAAAAAAAAAAAAAAAGAAAGTTTATTTTGCCAGAGCGTTAAGCGGACATGTTCCATGACAAATCAGCCGTCAGGAGGTCCTGAACATGTGCCCCAAGGTGGT